CTTAGTTAACTGACTAACGCTCAGTCACTTCTGTACGGTTTCATTTTCAGCCCTAAACAGGATCAAAACGGGAGAAAAGTGCTCGCATGCCTGTGATACTTTTGTTTTCACCAGTGCCAAAGGTGGAGGAGGAGAATAAAAGAAGCAGAACCATGATTATGAAGAGAAAAAGCCGGAGAAAGGGGGGAGAATAAGGCGGGGACGGCGTTACGAAACGTCTGTCCTCTGAACGAGCAATACTCAGCTTGAAAAAAATAGTGTTTGCTTGTAGGAGGGAGTAGCCATGACATGTGGGCGGCCTCCCCCAAACACCTCCCCGGTAAGAACGCGGAGAGCGTCGGAGTTGTCCACGCGAGACAACCACACACGATGTATGTGTGCGAAGGGGCGTAAACAGACTACTTTGGCAAGCACTGGAACTTACGGGTTAGTTGGTGAGAAGATATACATGGAACTGTAGGGCAACATAGCCTTCCCGTAACCCTCTTTGCCCGAGCTGTAGTCACTTTCGTTGACACTGTCGATGGGGGGAGAGTCTGGTCGAAGTTAAAGAAAAGGCAGTAAAAGGACAGTAGAGGTGTGGTGTGCTGAAAATAGAACAGCTTCCTTAACTAGAAAGGAATTTAAGGAGTAAGCCACCAGTTTGACTGGCAAGCTTAAGAAGACTCGGCGGAGGGAAACATAAAAGCGTAAATGGAAGAGAAGGTTTTTACAACAAAGCTTAACATTTTTTAAACTGCGATATAAAACCAGAATATGAGTATGAACTAGACAAAAAGATGCCGGTTTACATGAAATTGAATTTTTTAAATGACAGTCAGTCTATCCTGGACAAGATTGACTTTTGAATCCGCACACTGACTATCCCTTCGCGCCTGTCCCATATATCTTCAGTACGGCCTATAGATGTCTCATCTGCCGGCGTTTAACTGCAACGCGATGGATGACTCACCTACGTCTGAACGGTCGTGCAAATCAACCGAAATCCATTCTATTGAATAATGCCCTTTCTTCGAGTGTAAAATTGAAGTAAGAGGTAGATTGCTACGAAGTAAGAATTCGAAAGCATATTTTTGTATGAGGGCATCGCAGATCAATGAGCTTTCTGCAGGTGACCGGAAAGAAGCTCGGTCAAAAGCCAACATTCGGATTTGTATGAGATACCCTGGGATTATCCTGCACAATAATTATTATTACAACCCTACTTACGTAATCTTTCGAAAAGGTAGGCACATTTCTTAATTATAGTTAGCATTTCAGGAGATAGCCCATTTTCTGTGCTTGTTTGATCACAGCGAACTCAAAGAGGTTCTGTTTAATAGGCAACTTTACAGAGGTGGGAAGTCTGCTCGGACCAACCGTCACTGACATTTTTATTGGTTACGAAGAAGAAAAAGTATCATTAAAATTTACAACGTCATTATACCGAAGAATGCTGATGATATATTTATGATTGTTGATACCAAAGAAGACGTTAAAGATCTTCTTGATTTTATAAATAATTTACATCCAAAAATTAAGTTCACAATTTAAATGGAGCAGTGTAATATATTACTCTTTCTAGACCTCCTTCTGCTTAGAGAAGATTAGGATTCAGTAGAGCGCCCCGTTTTCCAGAAACATGCCTGGAAAGGACAACACTTACATTTTGCTAGTTTTTTTTTCAATACAATAGAAACGAAATCTGGCACATACTTTTTTCCAGAGAGCGAGGAATATTTGGTCTAATGATACCCTCACTGCAGAAGTGGTCTGCATCAAAGCAGCCCTACTTAACCATGTATATCCTGTACGTTCTATTCAAACGTACAGCAACTCTTTACACCCAAAATTGATGAAACACTCAGTTCAGAAAACAAATCATTATTATATTATCATTATATTTCAAAAATAGTCAATCGACGATTGCGCTGCCCCATAAAAACCGTGTACAATGCAGCTGACCTCGTATTTCTCAGTCCTACTAAAAGCCTTCCAATAAACCGAGCAAGGGATTCCCTGCCGTTGCAGGCCGCCAAAGATTGCTTTAATGAAGTCCTGTATATTTGCAAATGCAAGTACATTGGCAGCCAGGGCTGCTGAGCCTTTGCCTAATTCGCTTTTCAAGCAAAATATTGAGTGCTACGGTCCTCGAACACAGAACATCTGCTAGGCAGGGTTCACTCTATTGACGTCAAAACAGCCTTCCGAGGACTTGTTCGGGTACTAGCAAATCGGCACCTGTACTACGTGGAAGCCACCTATCTACGGCGGAAAAAACCCGACATATGCAAGCAACTAGAAAATGTGGTCAATCTACAATTATCTTGGTAATCTCGTGCCTATATCTACTCATGACTGTGATTCGTGCTAATCGCTTTCTCTCCCTTTTTTCTTCTGTATAATTGTTTAAGGTAGAATCGTTCAGTTGATCATTACTTTCAGTGAATTATGACCCTTTCTTTTATGCCATGCGCTTCTATTCATTACCTGTGGCATGCACAGACGAGATGCCGTCACTGATTTTGCTGGAACCAATAAAGCCTGCTGCTTACTTTTGTTTTAAATTCGTATCCGGGGAAAATTCTTAAAAAACGATTTGCTTTCTATTTATTATTTGGCTTGAATGGGCATCAGTAATGCTGATGGCTGCAAAACTTCAAAGAAAATTTGAATGTGTTGAAGTTCTTTTAGCAGTACAGTTGTTTTTCAACTCCCCCAAATCTTCTTGCGTTATGCCCCTTCGTCGGCATAAAAATTTAAACCCAGAATACACCCCACATGTGCAAGGGCTGAACTGAATAAATTGAGATGTTTGTCTCAAAAATCTAAATCTCATTTATGATAAAAAACGATTGCCTGAACTATTATGCCAAGGTAAAGTTTTTTATGCGATTGGAGACATCAAAGTCCGCTTAGCGTGATTCCTACGTGAAAACCGTGGGTAAGAGTTAAGTTGGTCGTCCGCGCTAAACTTTGGTTATTCATTAAGGTGACTTAGATTCACAAATCGTTCTCTCATTTTTTTATCAATGAGTAGCTTGTCCCGTAAATTTCCACCAAAAAGATAACTGTATGTGGTAAACCCAAAAATAGAATACGTAAGTTAATATTTTTAAAATTTTAAACATCTGAAGAGGATAAATCGTCTCACAAAGTCTGTCCATTAGATAGCGTACCAACGGGTCCCAACGGGTTTTCCACAATTTGAAACATGTCTACATTCTTCTGAGCTAATGTTGTTAAGTGGGTCCAACGTTTTTACCTAATCTATTCTACTTTCTAAAAGCGCTTTTCCTTTAGGTTGTTCCTCAAGCTTGAGAATAAGCGAAAGTCGGAGAGTGCTAGATTGGAGGAGGAAGGGGAGTGGGAGTCTATTTTCATGCAAACTGTCGCCAACTCTGTTTCAGTTCCAACGCTGTGTGGGAAGGCGCGTTGTCATGATGAAGGAGCCAGTTTCCCAATCAGCATAATTCAGCTTTTTTTCTTCTCGCTGTCTATTGCAATCTCTTCTGTCCTTGCAGATCAGACAGTAAATTACCTAACTGCTGAAACCTCAATCGAAATTCTGAAAATTTGTTTTCTACTCGAACATATTAATTAAGTATGGTTGAGAAAATACTTAACGAACAACCTTAACCCAATATATTTAAGTCACGACAGATTGCCGGCTTCTGGACGAGTATCATTTTAACCGCGTGCGAAAAGCAGTTTCTGCAAAAAATGACTACTTCATTCGTACGTACAATTATCATTGATTTTCAATGTCCTTAAAAATTCAATTATATTTTATAGAAAACCTGAGAAAAATATTATTTTTTTTCACGCCTTATTCCAAGTTTATTTTTTAAGAAAGGATATCTTCCCATTTAAGAAAAGTTTCTAAATTGCCGAAACATTTTGAACACTATCGACCGGTACACTTGTATTCTCGGTCGCCAATCTATATGCTGTATATATTCTCTCTAAGAAAGAGCGAATATTTAAGTACGGTGTAACGAAAACGTCACATAGTACTCATAAAATTTTGCAATGGACGTGGACCAAGTTCTATAATTCATAAGCAGTACTTATAAATGGACAAACGTGTTGCTTTATGAATGCACGTTTCATGATCGCCAAACTTCTCAAAATTAGAAATATTTTTAAACTGAAAAATACCATTTGTTGAAGTACGAATTGGAAGAACGCGTAGTTTTTGCTCATGATTTGGATAAAATATATTTGAATTTTTAAGGGCAGTGAAAATCAATGATAAAAATGCGAACCACTTAAGTAGTCATTTTTTACAGAAAATGCTTCCCGCACGTGATCAGAATGACGCTTGATGCTTTAAACTCCTGGACATGAATTTTGGCAATTTTATGACCAATACACAATCGGAGAGTGTTGATAGTGAAGAGTTATAATGTGCCAGAAACCTTGTGAAGTCGTTTGTGAGACCCTTAGGAAACTTGCCCTTCAAAGTCTCCCTACACAGGGGTTACAGGATTCGGGTTTAACATAATATATTTTCGAATACAAGTAATACTAAATATTGTTGATTAGAGAATACACTAAGCATATAGTATGCGTATCTCAAAGGTTTTCAAGTTGAACTTTACAATTAACAGTTAAAGTTAGGAATGGCTGATCCTGAAGATCGAAATATGAGGTGCATGTTAGCTCAGAAATCACAATTCTCAACATTTCTATCAACGCTGAGGAGGAAGTATGGATCTTGATTTGCAGGTAATATTGCTTTATAGGTTGAATATTCGGAGCAGTTCCTGATTTCGTTACGAAGACAATGAGAACATTAGTAAAATAACTTAACCTCTAAAGTAAACCAAGTAGTTCCACCTTTTATAGTTTTATAGCAATGTACCTACTGCGTTATTTGTTCCTAATTCATATGCCTGGTGTGCAGAAATCCGACCGAGGCCACTATTCAGCAATCGATTACGTTTTGCCTATTCATGGATAGTAGTTAGCGGGCTCTTGCTCGAAGCCGTGGCGATAGATGAATGAATTGTTTAGCTCATACAGTTATTTGTTTATTTTCTTGATAAATGCGTATAGTAAGGGAGAATTCAAGAACTGCCGCAGCACCCGACTTAGTAAATCATCATTTTCTCGCGATTAACCCTGCTTCCTAGCTCCAGCATATGGATTTCTCTGGAGACCCATTACCTCTTATATTTATAAAAGTTTTTCCATGCAACGCAAAGTTTGGTCAGAAATGTCGCTTCTTTCTACTCACCATGCACAGGAGATGACTCAGCAGGATTGTAGCCGACAGCATTCGGTTCCATCCTGTTGAAAGAGGACGAGAAACAATACAAGTTAATCCATTTTTATGCATAGAGAAAAAAGCAAGAAGCGTGTCTACTGGCCGGGACGCTGGTTCAGTACCATGCTACATTATTCCAGCACCGAAAAGCACTCAGATATCCGCTGAATAATTGACAAAGACACTTAAACGTGATTTTGACATAGTAAGATAGGAAAGTAGGAAAATGTAGCAAGTAAAAAAGATGTATCCTAGAAAGGAAGCGAATTGGTAGCAACAAAATTTGATTTTGATGTCCGGAGTTTATTGAGATGCCTGACAGCGGCCTCAGTAATCGGTTGATAAGACGCGGAAGTATGAACCAGCCCTGGTAATGCAAGCAAACTTGCACAAATTCCGGATTCCCGTGTCAAAACCCTGCGTTTAGCTCTAACCCTACTTCTAATCCTAACGCTAAACTTAGTCAAAAACCCTCCTTCGTCCTGACCCTCGCCATCACCATTAAGCCTATTCAGCCTTCCATTACCTCAATGATTCCGGAATTGGATGAGTGCCTATTCTCATGTGTAGCCTATCAGTGTTTCCGTAAGTGGCTCAAGGGGTAGTCCATTTTTCCATCTGACGACTGTTCTGGTGTGACTGTAATATTAAAACGTGTTCGTTCACAAGCGAGACAGCTGTAGGAGACTTTATCACAAAACATGGTCAGATAAATATAAAAAGGGTTTTCCCTTCTTCCATCTTTATTAAGCCAATCTTAATTTCGACCAACATCTGGGTCTAGAAACGCAAATATGTACACACACCTGATATGATTTGCTTGCAGATGGGTGTCATACAATGGACAGAACAGAAGTCCACCAGCGCCTCACTAACCTGCCTCCCATACGTCCTGCAGAGGGGATATTTGGTCATACAAGACAGTAATTTAGTAGCCTACCGAAGTAAACAAGGAATATGTGACAGAGGTCAAGAGCTCGCATCCACGCACCAATCAAGTCAAGTCAAGTTTATCAAAGGAAATATAGGCAAACGCCTTTGAACTCCCTACTGGTACATAGTAATTGAGAAATGCATCGGCGCAGCCGAACGTTTCAAAGAAGTCGTTGACACAATTGTAGGCGACTATTCGCTTGTTTCAAGTAATACACTCAAATGTGGTGATGTCAGTTTACACGGGCCAGCAATGTAACTGAGCAAGAAGAGCAGACAGTGAAACAACTCCTAAGGCATGGCTCATAATTCAAATTGGAATGTTATTTGTGGTTTTTAGGAGAAACACTGTCGCCTGGTCCCGGCTGTGCAGTAGCAACAGGGAAAGCATAGAGGCAAGGAACCGGTAGGCTTGTTGCAGATGAAGTGTCTAGGCTTCGTCTGGGGGTTATGCTTACTACTTGCGCGCATGTTTGTCTATTCCGTTGCAGACGTTACTCAGTCTGGTGGTTGGTTGAATGAACATGGACTATGTCCAAACAATCGACAGCATCTTCTGTCGATGCATCTGCTGAAACTGTATAATTGCCAAGGTCGAAGTGATGGGTATTTGTCTGTTCATGGGTACCTAAAACGGGTCATGCGTGCGTTGTCCTGGACCATCACGGGAGCTAGGCTAAGGCTTGGAACGCGCATCACATAACAAATGCCACGCATGGGGAGATGTGGTGGCGCGCTCAGGCACAGATTTACGCCGCACAAGCCACCTGTGTCCACTCCTACATCAGATGGATGACCAGCTTGTACAGTGGACTGATGTCTGTCAGATGGAAGAGGGTGTGAGTTCACTCTGAGGACTCCGTCTTCCCGGCACTCAGTTCATATTCCTAACTATAAAAAAGTAAAACGCACTTGAATCTATCGCCGTGTCAAAATCCGTGGCTTGGAAGACTACAAATTGACGGGATAATTAGTTTCTTCCTTCAGGACGATGAGCCAGACGGCAATGGCTCCTTCTGGCGGAAATATCTATAAAACATTAGCTCACTTGGGAGCCGAGCAGTCTCCTTTCGTTATGTGTTTAAACCTGGTCTATCGCACGCAGACCAGACGTGGATAGCACGCTTATACTAACAGTTTAACGTTTCCAGTCACTGCGTCCGATCCTGCCTTCGCTGTTCTTGACGCCTTCTTGACATCGGGCTCAGGCAAGTAGGGGGAAAGGGAGAGTAGAAACTGCTCAAGTCTACTATCAATATAAATTAATTCATGCAAAAGTCACTGTTTTTGCCTCCAACTTGCTCGAAGTATGCGGTGGGCATCGCTGGTAGCGATGGTTCAAATCTCATTTGCCTGTTCGTGACCTGTCTCACCCATCTAGAGCCTACTTGTTTCGGGAACCCGATGGATTTGAGTACTCTTAGTCCCAAATAAACGATTTTATTTAAAGTCCGATTTATCTTCTGTGAGAACTAGGCTGAAGTTGCTAAAGCGTGGAAACTAATGGTGTTAAATCTTATTATAGGGTGACGGAACACAGCATTTGAAGAATATATATAATCTATTTTAGAAGAATATACACCGAAAGGCATAATCGGCCTAAAGACAGCAACAGCTATTGATGATAAGTGTTCACGTTGTCCCTTTGGTTCAGACAGTCAGAAAATCTACTATATTTCAATTCGGACAGAGGAGTTAAGTGAAAAATTTCGGAGGAAAACCGCTTCTGATACAGACACATTTCACACTACAGACAAAATGCAGCGCCCCATACAGTGCGCCATACATACTGTCCCATCGTTGTTACCCCGGAATTTAGCAAATAAGCGCAAACCTTTATCCTGCGCCAGTATGCCCTACATACTGACTAAAGGAAATAGAAAACTAAACAGGATCTTAAAAAAGAGTGAGTTGATGTACGCAAGTCGGCCTGAACACGCACGTAACCAGGCGCAATCTACACTAAAAGGACACAGTGGAAGTATGCTGATACCACAACAGACAGCAAAAACCGGGGAACAATAAAACTTGTACGAGGATACTGTGAGGCAGATTTTCACTGCATCTATCGCACTTCTTCCTCACTCACCGTGCTCTCGTGGCGAGGAAATCTTAATAAGTGGGTACAGCGGTCGACAAAGTAAAAATGGCGGCGTACGCGTGCAAGCTCAACCGTAACCCTAACCTTATTTTTTTCTGTGATTAAGCACAAAGCCGTTTGTATTGGGGGCGGGAGTTGGGGTTTCTGCTCGCATATCCTGCCTTGTAGTCATATAAGTGTTCTCTACTGAAATATAATCGTTTAACACCAGAAACGGCGTGCTTCTATTATAAGTTCCATCTTACAAGGTGCCCATTTCTAGCCTGCCAGCAGCGTTCAGTCGCCAACAGGTGACCTTTCCGCTGGTTGTAGCTTAAACCCCCTGCCAACTGCGTCCTGTCTAGTAGACAGTTCATTGCGCTTTGGTCCCCTCTATTGACGCGTGTGTACTGTGGTCTAAGGTGGGCGCGGGTGCAATTGCTGACAGGCTCAGACTGCCTGTTCGCGCGTGTTACACACGACCTTGTCCCAACTTAATGTACTGGGGCAAAGTCAAGTCAGTCTGGTTAGGGCAGGGTAATATGGGCTCCCTCGTATTACAGATGACCTTATGCTAATTTCCTGAGTGATGTAGGGTCAGGATAAGTGTTAGGAAAACGGAAATGCAAGCGTTGGAACAAGATGTTTACTGGTCGGACGTTTCGGATTCTTTCTTCAACCCATTATTAGAGACATTCAGGGATAAAAGTGATGGGGCACAAGGACTGCAGTATTCATAGGACGCAGATGTCCTGTACCCAGGTAGATATTGGCTACGGAAACTGATTACTTGCGTTCTATTTTGTTCTAAACAGTTTACTGTTTAGGCCACCAAAAACGTCGAGTAAGATGATGATAAGTGTAGGGTTTATTCCTAGAGTTAAATTAATGAGATCTGGATCAAAGTTAGGCTGCAGAATCGGTGCAACTCTTGGAATTTAGTGCAGTCACCTGCAGTACGGTGGTTCATATTCCAGTGTCCAGTCACAACTGCATTCTCGCACGCATGAAAGTGCTATTAAGGCCAGATTGAGAAGGGGATATTACATATTAACTTTCGTTCATTCAGTCACTTCTAAAAGGTTTAAAATACGGACTGGAAGTAGACAAATTACTAAGTAAATGATGTGCAAACGAACTCCTGGCCATACCCGTTCATGTTTTATGTGCCTAAACTGAAGAATTTCTTACCTAGCCACTCGATTTATGATTCACATTATAATTGAGAAGGTTAAAGTTGCTACGCTTCATAACTAGACTGATTGTTTGAAGCTGTCCGAGACCTCATCTCCGCGTACGAGTTAGCAAACCAATAAACTTAATTAAAAAGGCTCATTTTATTGTCATATACTGTTGCATGCATCCGC